CATAGAAAAATGATAAAATGTCACTCAATATAGTATAAGTCTATTTTATGTAATATTCCTTAGACACCTTTAAATAGTTCTTATTACCTTACCTATATGAATTTTTAAAATAAGAGAATTTAAAGTATTTTAACAATCAAGTAATTAAGTTTTGTCAACAAAAACGTTAAGTTTACTGATGTTTTTGTTCACACTATAGTTTAGTTATTCAATTCAAAGTAAATAATAATTTGTTTTGGTTTAATTTTTCTTTGTTAATCCTTTTTAAACTATAAAATACACTAACAATAATAAAAGCAAAAAAAAAATCGAAACTAGGTTGGCAAAAAATTATAGACCTAGATTTTTAGACCGTGCTTAAATAGTGATTTAGATCTTTTTGATGTTAAAATATTATTATGCATTGGACATTGTTATATTACTATTATTTATGGCAAGAAGTATCATCTTGACAAACTAATCAAGGAAATTATTATTTTTTAAAATTGATTTTAATTCTTAGTTGATGGTCTCTGATAGAAGAATAACTGAATTGTTTATTTCAGAAACCTGTCAACTGGCATTTTTTTCAAAAACAAAATTATTATAGATAATGTAAGATATTAAGTATCTACAGTTTTTGAGGTTAATGTTATTGTTTAGTGTTGTATGTTGTTTATTGTTTATTAATGCTTTATTATTGTACAACCTAATAACCTAATTTTTGTAATTATTGTACAACCTAATTGTCTGTATAATATATATCTGTGTAATAATCTGACTGTTTCTACAAATATTCACTCTCTTTATATAAAATTTGCAACAGTTAACCGCTCCCTAGTAGATTACAAAACATGCTCCTAAGCAAACACATAAAATCATTATTTTAAATACAATACTCTAACTTCTCTCTAGCTGCTTGATTTACAATAAAGTTTTAACTTGGTATGTTTATTTGGTTTAAAAAATGGTGGTAGTTCTGATGATCAACATGAAGCAGAAAGAAAACGAGATATTGTTAATAAAGATGCGTATAAATGTAATATAATTAGAAAAGCAAGAGTAAAAAGTAAATAATACACAAACTACAAATTCCTGGTGAACTAGTGTGTAACCCAAAAAAGTAATAATGAAGCAAAAAATGCAATCTGGAGTAGTTTTTTATGAAAACTACCGGGCGCAGAACATCTGCTCGACATCTTAGACATCTTAAAGATATCTAATGGACTTCTCAATATCTAATAGGCGTCTCACGGAAGTCTGTGCTCGCTGGTTGAAAATGAACAAAATCTACTAATCTAAATTTAAAAAGATTAAAAATACTAAAGTTAGGGCAGTTAAGTGATCTACGCTTTTAATACTTTTTGGCCACATTTTTACAAAAAGACTACCAACTCAGATGAAACTCCTGAGAGGGGAATTTGAAAAGAAGATAGGGTTCCTTTTAAAGTATCTACGTACAAAGAGCTTTATTACGACAAAACTGAAAAAGGAAAAGTGGTTACTAAGGTTACTAAGCGCTTTATTGACAGTTTCACTTACTCAATGTTCACACTCAAAAATATTTTGCAGTTTGGGAGTTCCCAATAGTGATTGCATATCCATCTGAAAAGGTATAGCTCAAGGACATGAAGAAGCTGGCTAAATATACTACAGGCTATGAATATTTTTGATGAAATCTTCCAGTTACCTATAACCCAAGCCATCTGCATCATCGATGTATTGTATGTGGATGAGTAGAATAAAAACTCAAGCAATAGGCTTGGCCTATGTGCATTATGCACCAGCGATTTTCAACTTTTTTTAGAAAAATAAATTGCTTCAAGCCGGAGTACCTTATTTAGACCAAAAAACGTGCAAAGTTTGAAATTTGCAAATCTTTCTAATTCTATTTTATTTTAATTTTTTACGTTTAGTTTATTATGAAACATAAATTAAAGTGAGTTTTAATTAATGAATTTTTAAAACGAGTGTTGGTGTAAAATATTTTCCCGCATATTCTTATGCATAATGAAACGTAATAATTTATTTTTTAATTTTTATAATTTTTTAGACATGTTTGAGTCCTGTAAATATGTCCTACATAAAAGCCATTTAATTAGATGAACTTATGTAAATAAAAAAATGTTAAAAAAACATGGTTGCAACATATTTGGGTTTAGATAGACAGTTATCAAAAAAAAAATTTTAGGTATTTTTGTGTTCAAGTTAAAAAACAAAACATTTAACTTTTTAACTTGAAAACTTTAACTTAATGCAAAAAATAAATAAATAAACAGCTGGTAAGTTTTGGCTTTGTTTAAGCCTGGCCGAAGTAATGAAATTCGGCTGCCGAATATTCGGTGACAGTTATTTTGTTATATATTTGGTTATATATAACCATTGGTATAACATCAAAGTTTTTTAACTATAGTTTTGTATAAAACTCATACTCAAATTATTCCAAAGGTTATAAAAATTGATATAGATAGAAGTAGTAAAAAGAACTCCAAACTTGTTTAAAATGATATTTTCACTACAATCTGAATTTAAAGCATGGTTTAACTTTAATGGGAATGTCAGTTATACGGTTGTCTTTTTTATCTGAAGACTGAATAAGTGGGAATTTCAAGTGCGAACTAGCAAAAATGCACTAAAAGAATACGTGGTGTATTAAATATTGTATTATATTGTATTGTATTATATTAAACTGTATTAAGTATTGGCATAAGTGTAGGGTTGCCAGATGTCCAGCTTTTAAGAAGGAGAACACAGTAAAAATCTTAATTAATATAAGTTCGGCACTGTATTCTCTTACGTAAAAGCCGAACATCTGGCAAACTGTACATAAGTGTGAACTGGCAAAAGTGCGAATCATATGCCTATGTTTTCAAATTCTTTGAGTGCCCTTATGCCAGTTTTGCAAATTATGCAAATTTTTTTGGCGCATATATACCAACTCACACTTATACCTATTTATGCTTCGCTCTTATGCCAGTTTTTGCTACTGCTTTGCACTCATGCCAGTTTGCACCTATGCCAAATGTTTGCGTATTCTTTTGGTGCAATTATGTCAGTTCGCACTTATAAAATTCGCACTTACTCTGCCGTGCCGTTTTTTTCTTAATGCACATTCCAAAACAAATTTCAAGAGATTAGTTAAACACAGCGAAGAAAACAAAAAAATTTAAAAACTTTGAGAAAGATTATTTTAGTGAAAGGCTAATCCTTCTCAATCGTTGATACGCTGCTTGATACGGATCAACCATCACCGCTGTTTAGCAACACCGGTGATGATTTATCTTCCCATCCTAAGAAAAAGAAATGTAAATAAAAACGATAAGCTAATTTCTACAGAAATATGCACACATTTTAAAATTTAGAAAAAAAAAAAGTCAAATTGCAAATAAAATTAGTTTTTAAATGAAACTGTTCGCTTAAATTAGACAGTAAACCCTTACAAAATGTGGTCATAAAACGCAAAACATTATCTTAAATAGAACTTTTACTTAAATTTTACTAAATTATTTGCCGGTGGCATTGCTTTTTTCCATTACAATCTGGTATTCGATATTCGGGCGAATAGTTTGGAATATTCGGCCAAATACCGAGTAGTAAAAAAAATATCCGAATACCGAATACTCACCGAATATTCGTAACATTTCTAATTGAAGAGCTTAGTGCTAAAAGTACTTCAGTCACAAAATAAATGTTTTTAAAAAATCTACTTTGATCAGTCATTTGAAATCGTTATTTTGAAGCGTTATATCTCTGATCAAATTATATTTTCTCATAACATTTATTTTGTGACTTAAGTAATTTTAGCACTAAGCTCTTCAATTTAAAGCGGTTTATTTATGTTGATTTCGCAAACTTATTTTTCAAATAAGATAGCAACTAGTTAACTTTAGATTTTTTTATTTTATATATATATATATATATTTTTTTATTTATTTTTTTTTCTGATGAGTCTTTATTGATGAAACACAGTGTTAAATGAGAAAAAATTTTGCTAAGTGATTTTCTACTAATTTATATATACATATATATATTATTTTATTAATCACCCTCTACCTTGTAAATATACTTACAAGGTAGATATATTTTCTAATAAACTATCTACTCCACCTTGAAGAAACTTAATACCAAAAATTGCTGGTAACATAGATGCATAGAGAATATGTTTTATGTTATTTCGTTTGTCTTCGATTGTTTCTTTATTTTGTGTTCTTCATTTAACTGATGATTCAATTATTTTCTTTGATTTTTAATGTTTAAAAAAAATAATATGCTTTTTTTATTTACAACCTACAACTGCTTTTTGTTTACAATCTACAACTGCTTTTTATTTACAACCTACAACTGCTTTTTGTTTACAACCTACAACTGCTTTTTATTTACAACCTACAATTGCTTTTTGTTTACAACCTACAAATGCTTTTCAAAATCAATATTATAGTCAACAACTTTTTTATTAGGTAAAAAGTTTTATTTTATTGAAGAAAACCGTCAAGTAAAAAATATTTTTTAAATGTTGTACAAAAAAAAATATTCAAAATTAACCCTAAGCAAAATAGCATTATTTGTTTTTCAATACAATATTTGCACTTTGAATTTTTTCCCAAGCTAAAACCTTCACTTATTTTAAAATTTGGAAGTTTTTTTAGTTTTCCGAAAATTGAAAAAAGCGCACTTGATGGGTTTCCAAAATAAACAGTTCAATTAATAATGAAGTACTCTCAGCGAATAATAATTTATAAAAAATGTTCTCTATAAAGAAAACCACTAATAAAAAATTTCTCTAAAGAGAAAATTATTATTATTATAGATTTGTTTAAAAATTTAATATTTTACAGTGAACAACTTTTTTTTTAAGTCAATGTTATTATTATATATTTATTTAGTTAAAAGCTTTTTTTTTTAGTTTTAATCTCGTTTTTATTTAGTTCTTATTTATATAGTTTTATTAGTGTAATATGTCATCTTGTTGTGTTTACATATTCTAATATTATTATGAACTTTAATGTGTGTAATGTTTGTAGCTCTTCCTATGAATACTCTAAAGAATTGGATGAATTTACGATCGCTAACAAACGAGCTAGTACTATTGTTAAGCCATCAGTTCTAAATGCTTATGATGTCTACGCCTCCTAATTTTTTTGAGTTTCGTTATCATTTCGTTACAATGTTCCTCATGTTATTTTTTTTATTTAAAAGAGAGTATTTTTAAATTATATTTAAAAGTTAGATTTAATTTTTAAAAATTATTTTACATTACATATACATAAATATATGTATGTATGTGTGTGTGTGTGTGTGTTTATATATATATGTATATATATATATATATATATATATATATATATATATATATATATATATATATATATATATATATATATATATATATATATATTATTTTATTATAAGATACATATAATTTATTATGGGAATATTAAAGAAATCTTATATGCTGTTTTTGAATAAATATCTCCATCTTTTAGATTTTATTAGTTTTTATCGAACTTTCTTATTTTGAGTTCGAATTAAAATAAATTACTTCTAACAAATAAAGTTTTATAAATTTTATGACATTTGCTATGCTAATTATTTTTAATTTAGTTTGTGTATATACGTTTAATAGATAGATATTTGAAAAAAAAAATTTATAATATTATATTTAGATATTTTAAAAAGAGTATTTTTATATAATTTTCTTATCAAAGTTCTTTATTTTTTTTGAAAAATTCATATATTTTTGGTGAAATGGATTTTTTTTTTAGCTTAAATTCATTGTTAATTGTTTTCATTGAGATGAAAATGAATTCAATAAAGTTAAAATGTTGTTTTTTATATTAACGACGAAAAAATATTTTTTGCACCCATTAAAGAGAAAATAGCAAACGTTGGTAACTGGCTTTATACAGGCGTAACGGATTAATGTTTATTCATAATAACGTTCGTTCTTGCAAAAGTTATTTAAACTTAGATTTAATGTTTAACTCAAGTTTTCAGGTATAGTATGTTTTAAATAAATGTTGTGCAACAAATGCCTTTGATAAACATATCCCAAATCTAAGAGAAACAATTTAAGAATTCAAGCGTTGACTAAAGCTGAAAAAATGGAAAAGGTTCAAGCAATGGACAAAAAGCGAAACAAAACAAAAAAAGCTACCAAAGGTAACATAAACTAACTAATTGCGGTTTTAGTATATGACTTTTTAATAGGGGATAAATGAACAAAATGGCGGTTTTGTTTAATTAATTATAAGACGTTTTTTGTTGTTTTAGTTTTTGTAAACGACTTTAATAGACGAATATTGGATGTTTTTTGTTAAAATAACTAGTGTTAAAAAGATATTAACACTTTAGATTACTTGTTTATTATTATTGTTGTAGCCGTAAATTTACATATAATATATACATTCAGTGAGCATTGAAAACACCCTAAATTTTAAACCGTTATCTTTAAAAGTCTTAAGAAGCTTTTTAGAAAAAAAAACCTAGAGAAATTGACCAGTTTAAAGTTTATGGTTCGTTTGGATTAACTTTTTTTTTAAATACATTTTTAACACTATAAAGTGGTTTTGTTTTTTATATTTATGTTACAACAACGTCAATACAAAAAAAAAGAGATAGAACTTAAATAAAGTAATATAGAACAAAACTTTGTTTTAGTCCAATCTTCTTAATTTCCATATATCGGACAAACGGATTCATTTTTTATGGAGACAACAGTTCAACTAATTAACTTAAATTAGCCCACCGTCTCAGTAATACAGTATAGTATTCATAAAAGTTAATGCAAAAAGAGGTAGGTTGAATTTAAACAGAATAAAGAACCAATAACTTCCTATAGATAAAAATAATATCAAACAACACTGGATATTATTAACAATCTAAATCATCAAGAAACTCATGCTATTATCTATTATCATCTTAAAAGTTTGCTACTTAAAGAATAATTTCAAAATCCTAATATAGATGAAAAAATATGTTATTTATTTTATTTATTATTTTATGTTATTTTTTTCATTTTAGAACAATAAACCATTAAATAGAAGACTTGAAAATACTAATGTGGAAATACAATTGAAAAATAAAATATAATTCTACATATAAAAGTAAAATTTCTCAAAAATTTGAAAATCATTTATTATTACAAAGTTACCAAAACTTAATACACTAACCATTAATAAAATAATCCTTCATAATTAAAATACCTTTTATCTATTGGAATGTGCAATGTTTTATTTGATATTACAACTCCATGTTTGCTATTGTGTATTATAATTGTAAAAGCACTGGTAACTGAGCTTTAGATAAAATAACTAAATAATTTTTTTTTTTAATTTGTCTTATGCATTGATAGTTATGGGTTATATTTTACTAGTTTCCAAAAGCACATGTAATATTTTTTGTTGCATGAATAGCATTTTCAGTGACACCTTTTGAAAAAGCTGACCTTTATTGAGATTATCCTATTTATTAAAAAACATTTCCCAAAATATTTTTCAAGAATGAACATCCTCAAACTGATATGCATATAAAGTGTACACAGTTTAAAGATATAGATAAAGATATAGACTGTACACAATTTAAAGTTCAATCTGCAACTTTTAATTTCAACACTTTTAATTTTTCTCATAACAATAATACACCAACAGGAAAAGTATTATGTTATTTGATACATAATTGTATTTAAGCATATGGATGTTGTCTTTTTTTCAGCAAAATTTCTATATCTATATTATTTAATATCAGATGGTAAAAAATAGTGTGTTATGTTATGCTTTCAACCTTTTTCCTGTAAACAAAAAGAAAATCTATTTTAATTTCTTTTGTTTAGCCATGCAACTGAATTTTGTCAAACTTTTTTAAAATCAGTGTATTCATTAGGATCAGCAGCGTATATTTTCTCAATGTTAACATTTATTTCTGTTAAATCTCTTTGTATATGTTACTAAATATCGTAAATAAATTGTAAAGATAGAAAATTGTTTTCTTTGCTTCAACACACTCCTTGTTATTATTTATATAATAATTTTAGTATAATATTTTATTTAGTACATTTTGTAGCAGATAATTTTCTTTATGGAAATACATATTATTTATGTTATTTTTACGAACAGTATAAATTTTTATAATTACTTATTGCGGTAAACTTTTTGTGATCTGATTAAGTTAGTATTATAGATTCGGTTTCCTTTAACAATATAAAGATGCATTAAGCAAAAAAGAAGGCATGTTTGTAAAGGGATAGTTGAGATAGTGATGAAAATTTTACACGTGAAAACAAAACATTGCACCAACGTGATTTGAAAGTTTGTTTCCTTTATTTTAGAAATTTTTTTTCTACATTTTTTTAATAGCAAAGCGTACTGAAATTAGCTTAGCTTGACAAAACATAGAAATTTAGTCTTTTTTACTTTGAGAATATCATTTTTGAACTCATGATATTTTTTCCTTTCATGGAAGTCTTTTATAAATAATAACTATGAAAGGACATATCAACATTTTTTTGAAACCAACAATTTTAAAGTAATATTCTTGAAACCAACCTTTCAAAATAAAAGATATGTGGAATCTTTTTTAAACAAAACTGCAGCAAGACAAATTTGAATCCCGTAAGATTTTAATAACTAACAAGCAACGTTAACGCCAGGTTAAACAAAATTCGTTTTAACAGACACAACTTTTCTGGCAATTTTCATTCCAAAATTAAATTCAATTTTTAATAATTGCATCAATTTTTCTGTTTTAAACTGCATTCTCTTATATTTAAAGTATAATTTTTAAAAATAGATGAAGTGATAGAAGGGTGCGCTGAGTCTTTTATAGTTAAAGAGGTAGTTAAAGGCGAGATACTTGTAGAATCCAAGCAAGTTTTGAGAACAAAACATCTTTTTGCTTTTTACTTTAGTTTTTAAACAAGGAAAGGGTATTGTTTAAGTTTATTTATTCTGATCCGTAACTCGTGTAAAGTGCATTTTGTAGATAAGCAATGGTCTATTAATCATTTTATACAATTATTTTCTGTTTAAAAAATTATCCATTGTTTTTTATTAATTAAGAAGAAAGGTAAAAACATTCTGGTGTCAATTGAGATCGACATTGTTTTTCGAAATTTGAAACCTCATACCACCCCTTATGAAAGTCGGTAATTTTTTTTTTTTTTTTTTTTTTTTTTTTTTTTTTTTTTTTACATTTTAAGTTTACATTTGTTGTAATACAATACTTTAACAAATACAAACAAGGTTTCTGAAAGAAGATCGTACTGATCTTATCATCAGAACCTTTTACAAGCATTTAGCATAATTATTTACAATGTATATAATCTTTTTATAAAATAAACAGTAAAAGTAAATAGTAAAACAAAAAGATAAAAAGTAAAACAAAAAGAGTCGTTACATATAAAAAGTAAAACAAAAAGAGAAGTAAAACAAAAAGAGTCGTTACATATAACGTATTTTACAATTAACATAAAACGTATTTTACAATTAAAAAGTTCTAAATAAAGGTACATAATTACAATTAGAAGAACCTTATTATGTCATCGGAAAATAAAATTAAATTTTTGAGTTTATGTTTAAAAATTGGAAAAGTGTAAAATATATTAAAGTTTGGCAAAACAACTTTATTCCAAAGATATGGCGCACGATAAGCAATACCATACTGGTTAAACTTTGTTCGACAAAAAGGTTTATGCAAAAATTTATTATTTCTAAGAGTATATTTATTTATTGGTTTTTCACAAAAGAGAACTTTAAAGATAGGTAGGGATAAGTCATTTTTCCACAAATACATAAAGCATAAAACATTAAACACATTAAGTTCGTAAATATTAAGAATTTTCATTTCAATAAAAAAAGGTTTGGAATGAGTGTATCGATCCGCAAAATTAATTAAACGGATCGCATGCTTCTGACGGCGGTAAAGACATTTTAATTTGCTTTTTTCTGTGCTTCCCCAAGCAATATTTGCATAATTTAAATAGGTATGAATAAATGTGTAGTATAGTTGGGTTAAATCTTTTTTACATAGATATGTTCCTGATTTATATAAAATTCCAATGCTTTTAGAAATTTTTGTGCTAATATAGTCAATATGCGCTTTCCATGTGATGTTTTCATCAAGAAAAACACCCAAAAACCTTGTGACATAGTGTCTTTTTATCACAGTATTATCAATAATGATTTCTGGTAAATTTTGGGGTAAATAAGGTTTTTTTGCGATTGGATGGAAGAGAATCCATTTTGTTTTGTTACTGTTAAGAGTTAGCTTATTGCATATAAACCATTTTGATATATTTTTAAGTTCATCGTTCATACTAGAAAAGAGTTTGTAAATATCATTATCGGAAAGAAATAAGTTGGTGTCATCAGCAAACATTATACTCATTAAATTTGAGGCTTTATTTAGGTCGTTTATATAAATCAAGAACAACAGTGGTCCCAAAATGGAACCTTGGGGAACGCCACATGAAACATTTAGGAACTCATTTGGATAACAACTATTACTAAAAACAAATTGTTTACGGTTAGATAAATAACTTCGGAACCATTTTATAACTTTGTAATTTATTCCATAGTATTTCAGTTTTAGTATCAAAATTTCATGATCTACAGTATCGAACGCCTTCGTTAGGTCGATAAAAACACCTAATGTAAATTTAGATTTTTCAAAAGAATTTGAAATTTCACGTACAAGTTGGATAATTGCATGTTCCGTCGAATTATTTTTTTTAAAACCAAACTGGTTGGCGTATAACAAATTATTAGAAAGGAGATAATTGTATAATCTATTATACATAATGCGTTCTAGTATTTTTGAGAATGTGCAGAGGACGGAGATAGGACGATAATTACTGATATTTGTTTGATCTCCCTCTTTTAAAATTGGGGTAATTTTAGCAATTTTTAATTGATCCGGAAAAACTCCTTGGTGAATAGATGCTCCATAAACCTTAAAAAGTATATCTTTTAATTGTTCAAAACATTCTATAACTATATTACCGTTTATGTCATCTGCTCCGTTTGCTTTGTTTTTTTTAAGGGATTTGAATGCTTTTTCGAATTCATAAAAAGTTAGCTCAGAATATAATTCGTTGGAACTAATGCAATTATCCATCTGTACTAGAAAATCGTTAAATGTTGCTTTGGTATAAGGAATTTTATTTGCTAGTTTAGGACCAATGTCAGTGAAGAATTTATTAAACTCATGAGCTATAGCTTTTGGTTCGCATATGCGTTTGTTATCCACTATAACCATCTGGGGAAGAGAACCTGAGCATTTTTTTTGTCTGCCAGTAATTTCGTTCATTATTTGCCAATTGCGTTTTGTGTTATTTTTGAATTTATCTAGAAGTCGTGTGTAATAATTTTTTTTCAAATTTTTACGAACTTTTTCAAAGAGATATTTGTAATTTTTATATATTTTCTCATTATCTAATGATTTTGTTTTAAGATATTTTATATACAGCTTTTGTTTAATCTTGGATGATTTTTTAAATCCTTTTGTTATCCAGGGGTTATTTTTATATTTTGGAGTTATTGTCTTTTCAATAATAGAAAAGTTTGCGTCATAAACGGAGTAAAAGGTTTCATAAAAGTTATCATAAATTTTGTCTGCATTGTCATTGAAGTTAATATGCTTCCAGTGCATTTATTACAGTGCGGTAATTACGCTGATAGACTAATTAAATAGACACTTGGTTGAGTAATTTTTTTTGGTTTGCTAATCCAAGGAACAACACCATCTTTAAATACACCATTATAAAAGTTTTTAATGTTGTTATTGACGTGGTACAGAAAGCATTATAAATTCAAATCACCTAATAAGTCGATAAATTTATTTTCGTGTTTATTATTATTTATAACGTCATAAAATAAAAATGATTTAAAATTCTTAATTTTACCTGAACGTAGGCGATAACAACAACATAAATAATATTTTTGGTTTTATTGGTTAAAGTTTCAATTGTTTTCAAATTTATTTGTTTACAATTTGTTTTTAAGTTTACAATTTGTTTTTAAAATATAAAATTTTACAAATTGTTTTCAAACCTCTTTATCGGCATCAGAGATACTTAAGTCATGCCTGGTAAGATATTTTCAACAATAACAATAACGCCTGCACTACGCTTTTTTGTTTTTCATGCAAAATTTAATTAAAATCTGGCAGTTCCGAATTAGTAAAAGAATTTAAATTATCCCAACTGTACCATGTTTCTGTAAAGCAAGTCTCATTAATAAGATTCTTTAATAAAATTAACATAAATTTCTTACTTCTTTTTATATTAAATATTGATGTGAACTGTGTTAATATTACTATTTAATATTTATAATTTTATGGGTACAAAAGTAGTTTATTTTGCAAAGCACCAAAAATTATAAAAACTAGACTCAAAATTAATGGTTTTGTTAGAACTCATTTTACTTTTTTCAATGACCCAAATAGGAGCAAAGAATTTCTTTTATAATTCACTTGTGATTATACCCATCGTCCTCAATTGTTTTGGTTCGTTTAGGAGTTTTCTTTGCAATTTATTTTACAAATCACTAAAATCCTTGTTTATGTAAACTTTTTGAGTCCATACTTTTATCGTAGTAGATTTTTTAAATACCTTGGTTTTGCCTTTATTGTTTATAAACCTGACTACGATAGATTTGATTTTTTCATTATCTCCTGGCAGGAGCGGATCTTGCTTTTTTTGGTCTCTGAGCTAACTTCCAGACATGGAGCAAACTCAAAAGATTTAAATGTTTATACTTCCCGGTGGGAAATTGGCTAGCAAATAGCTAGCTATAATCGTTACGATAAAGACAGCGATTTGGCCTCGAGGATCGCTAGCTTTTTTAAGTTAGCGAAAAGCTATCGATATTTGTAAAAATAAAGACAGCGATTTGGCTACGAGGACAACAAGGTGAAGATCCACTGGCTATTGTACCTAGCGTCATATCGTAATAAAACCGTTGTCTAAAAAATTTTGATATGTAGCTATCAACCAGCTATAGATTTGCAGATATTTTGTAGCTAGCTACAAAGCTACGATATGTAGCTAGCGACACATTGCCACAAAATCACAATGTTTCAATTATTTTCATAGTTATAATAGACTCAACACTAAAAATCGAATTTTTAAAGATGTTAAAGACATTTGCAAAAAATAAAATAAAAAAAAATCGCTAGAAAATCGCTATAGAGCTAGCTAGTCGCTAGCTAGTCGCTAGCTTATTTCCCACCGGGTTATATGTCAAATAACGATGCTATGCAAAAAATTGCAATAATTGAAGCCCCGGAAGCCTCAAAAAAGCCCCAAACTTTTTGCCCCTCCTGCCCTAAATGTGAGAGCAACAAGTTAATAAAATATTTTTTATACAACTCTTAACTACATTTGTATCCATCAATAAATTTTAGTTTATAATATTTCAGTGTTCAAAATTTATGAACATATAAAGATTGAAGCCCTCTCAATATTATAATTATTTGATGGGGTTTCAAAATTTATATGGTCATAATTTTTGAACGCTAAGAAATATTAATAGAAAATTAAAACTTATTGATGAATAATTAAAAATATTATATTAAATGATAATGGCGTAAATAAAGTTGAACCTTTCTTAATAAAGATCTGTGTTAAATAACACGTTATAAATGACACCACCAAAAACGTCATTTTGCGCGTCATTAGTAGACTGTTTTCGAGTAATATAAATTCATTTATCAAACACTTAAAATGTTTAATTACAAAAAATTATATAAATGGCAAATGATTTTATTTTGTGGGCGTTTTTAATTTAGACTTGCTTGATTATGAATAAAATAAAAACGTCAGAAATTTGACCTATGTTTTGTTTCAAAATAGTTTCGTTCCTACAATAAATAAATCAGCTAGCATTCCAAAAAATAATTGATCATTTTATAATCAATTTAAAAACATACAAAGTAAAACTGGAATATCTATAACTGACATTTTAGATTACTTTCCATCTTTATAGATTTCAAAATTACTTGAACATATTTTGTATAAAAGGCTGCATCGTTTTTTGATATTAAAAACACCCTTTATAATAAGCAATTTGAACTTAATAAGACGACTCTACCCATTAAATAACACGGTATAAAATGTCCCACTTGTGATGAAATCATCTCATCTTTGATAATTTCTCTGACATTTTTCTCTTGAAAAAAGTTATGGAAGTTCAAAAAAAAATTCTTAATTGAGTTAATTACTCTTTAATTGTATAGTGTACAACACATATTAAAAGCACATAAAAGCATGAAATAGATTTTAAGTGTCAATAAATATCAATGAGATATTTAGCAACCATTATCATTGTTGACTTGTGTACTAAAAGTGCTGTTAGGCTAAGGACTTCTGTTGCAATTGATACTTATTGTAAAAAGCAAAAGAAATCTCCCATCATGTTTGGATTGAACCGCTATTGATTTCTGAGTTTGCAAGAAAAAGTAAAGATGTGAGTGAAGGAAATGCACCGTGAGTGGCATTTTGTTATCCATTCTTCCAAAGACTCAAACCATTTGGAATCTGTTATTTTTAAGAATCAAACCATTTTTTTAACCGTATTTAATGTTTCAACCAGATAAATTATTCCAATGAAAATTTTCATGGTGTGAACATGACTGATACTTTAACAGACTAATATTATTAGTCTGTTAAAGGAGTATCAGTCATATATTAGTAATACATCAGTCTGTTAAAGAAGTATATAGTCCTTTAACAGACAGGCAACGTTACTGTTGTTCACTACTTTGAGTACTTGAAGCCAACAAATATTAGTTTTAAGTTTTGCAACAAAAATTAACAAATGAAAATTAAAAAATTAACAGTTTTTAACAACGCACAAGATTTTTTTATTTCTAATTTTTTTACATTTTAATGCGTTTTGCAATCGAATCGATTTGTTACATCCGGACCGATTTTTTAAACGAGACGTTTAAATTAATCGTTACCGGTAGAAAATAAACACTTTTTTAACACTAAATTTAATGAAACATTTAGATATTTTACCGAATGAAATCGCCTATTTCAGCGATTGGTTTCAACATGACTGGGATTAAACTCTGTTCAGACTGGACGTAGACGTTTAGTATCTGGCTCAAAAAGCGCACTTTTGTTTATTTGTTTGGGTGTGAAATTAATTTACTTTAAAGAACGGCTTTATTCCTTTTACGATTAGCACCTTATAGCTCTCTCCTAAAGCATTTTCAGTGGCTGTTATAAACGTGGATTGTAAAACCATATTAGAAACAACTATCCTCACGAGCAAAGTCTTTATACACTTTTTTCTACATTATAAGTGTTAGATCAGAGAATAATTAAACGAGAACCTGAATTGGTTTTTAACTTTATGAATTTTTGTCACTTATATTTATAAAATCACACCAAAAAAAAGTATCTGTTATTTGTTCCTGCTGTTTTGTTATCTTATATAAATATTATCATATTTATAGCTGGTTTTTTTGTTTGCTATATTGTGATAAAATTTGTAGCTAGTTTCAAACTAGCCATGGTATTTTATTTTAAAAATTGTTTTCTTTCCTATATATGAGCAATTGTTTAAATGTAAACGATGTCATCAGATGATAATTTGATTGATTTCAGCTCTGATGAATTGCTAATACCAACTGCTTCACAGGTATCCATGTCAATTCCAGAACTACAAGTAAATACTCCAATAAGTTTACCTTTTGACACCCCTAAAATAGAAAAATCTAATAAAAGTTTTTTTGCAATAACCCGTGAAGAAACTGCAAATGAAAGTGTTCAAAATGATGGTTCAAGTGAGTTATTTAATACCCTTTCTGAAATGCATATATCTAATTCAAATTTAACAGCAATCGATGGTATATCTTATAATACAGACTTAGTTAAACAACTTGATGAACAAAATGACTTTGAAAAAGTAAATGAACATTTCTTTCCAGTAAATCATTTAGAAAACTCTTTTTCAACATCAACTCCCGTACATGTAACAGATACAGGTTCAACTCTTATATTAGATAATAATAATTTTGTTTCTCCTTCTGTATCTTCTACCTCTCAAAACATTGTTATGACAGCATCACATAGCTGTGCAGAACCACCATCAAGATTTAGAATTGTTAAAATTGCCAAAACAAAACCCTATGACAAAGGTAAATGGATAATTAATGATTATACAGATTTTCAGAAACAAAACATTAACGATTGTGAAAGTAGTGGGTCTAGTATAGAGAAAAAAAATGGAGATAGTTATAGTAGTGATGAACATAAAGATATTACAAAAACGGTCGCATCACTTACACCTCGTAAAACTATGTCTAATGAGTTGATTTCTAACAGCGTATTTTCAATATCACGAGGAGGAAGTTGCTGCTCCAACTTTCTAGAAAAGAACTTAGTTGAAAGGTATATTTAAAATATTTTTTGTTTTTAATTTCTTTGAGAGAGAAAAATTCTTTTGACGAATAAGGTACTTTTATTTCTAATTTTAAAATGTTTTTGTTGAAGATAAGTTTATGTTAGAAGATTAAAATAAAGTACTTACATCATATATTTTTAGTATTTTTAATTTTATATAAGTTTAAATGTAAATTTTAGTTATAAATAAGAAATAGTTATATGGATTTTGATAAATTTGATGAAATTCTTATTGAATTAAATATTACACTTTGTTTGCGTTTAGGTTGGCCAATTTTCACTTTAATTAGGCATTTTTTTTATTTTGATTTGGCAATTTTCAATTTAATTTAGCCATTTTGGCAAAAATTTCAATTAGCCAATATTGCACAAAAATTTTATCAGCTAAATGAATTTTTTTGTCAAATTAAAATGAAAATTGGCAAAATTAAATTGAAAAAATGACAAGTTAATATGAAAATTAGCTAACTTAAAGGCAAAAAAGGTGTAGTTATACAATAATACTAATAATTGTTAAAGTTAAAAAAAGTTTAATAAATGCTTTGAAGACTTTATGACACTCATAAAATTTAAAATTTAAAAGAATCAATAAATATCAAAACATCCAGATTTTGCTGATTTTTATACCACTCAAAGAATTTAATGTTATGAACATTACCAAAATTTTATTTAATTCCAAATGGTTTTAAAGATATGACTATTCAAACTTGCCTTGAACCAAAAAGAATCTGCCATTTTAAATAATGATTTCATTCATTATTTCTGTTCTGTGTGCAATGGAAAGCTGAAAATGTGAACACTTACATATTTTGAGACAAGGATTCCAATAAAACAATTTGAAATATTTAAAATAAACTTAACACCTGTAACTTTGACTTTTATTCCACTTAAACTGGTGTGAGTTTAGTTCAAAAATGCTAATGTAGCTTAATTATTTTTTTTTAGATGTCTTTCTGAATAGTTAAGTTAGAGTTATTACAAAGAATTGAAGAGTGGTCTTTTTTTAAGTAGAAACAAAAATGTGGTCAAGTTTACTTAAATTTGTTACTTAAAAAACAGTAATTATGAAAAATCAAAGGAAATAAAAGGAAATAAAAAAAGGTTAAAAAAATAATAAAGTTTCTATATAATAAGGGCTTAACTAAATCTTGTTTTCCTTCCTGTTAGAAAATAGTATCTGTGGTTCTATTTTTTAAAAAGTGTGGTGATTGGTCTAACCATTGCCCAATTTACTTACTACTATTAACAAAGTCTTTGAATCTTTAATTAATAAACTTAGTTGAGTCTAATAACTTATTTTCTTATAACAGATATAAATTTAGATTCTATCATTTTATAGAATCAATCGAAAATAAGAAAGGGCTTTTTTTAAGGATATATCAAAGGCTTTTGATAAAGTTCATCATGGCCATCTTTTCTTTAAGCTAGCTTTACATGGTGTATTTATATAGTTTTTTAAAATAATTGACTCATTCTTTTTTAACTAGAGTATTAAAGTTGTCCTTGATGGACATATATGTGCCCACATGTATATATATATATATATATATATATATATATATATATATATATATATATATATATATATATATATATATATATATGTGTGTGTATATATATATATATTGATGGTTTAATTCGTTTTAGACAGTTGTGAGAAAAACGATTTAATGATTTTAAATTCGTATACAAATTCAAATATTTAAAAATATATTTAATTGTTTTATTGTATTGCTTCCACATTTAATGTGGAAGTTTTATTGTATTGCTTCCAATTATAATATATTTTTTAAATATATGAATTTGTATGCGAGCTTAAACTTTTAAAATTGCTTTTTCACAACTGTCTAAAATGGACATACTTAGTTTTATAATTAACCCATTGATATATATATATATATATATATATATATATATATATATATATATATATATATATATATATATATATATATATATATATATATATATATATATATATATATATATACATACATACATACAGGGGTCTGGAGTCGTAAAAAAAAAGTAACGACTCCAACTCCAGTTGTTGAAATTTTTTGAGTGCAACTCTGACTACAACTCCAAAGCAAAGTTTTTGAAAAGTTTTTTGAGTTCTTTAAAAAATATTACGCTATAAGTAAAAAAATTTTTTTTTGACAAGTTAATGAAACGTTCTTTGAGGTTTAGTGTAAACATAAGGTTAATTGAATGTTTTTTATATGCACGTGCAATACTGAGAAGTTTTACTATTGGAGTCAGAGTCGCGAATTTGTTTAGCGACTTCGACTCCGTTAAAAATGTCGCAACTCTGACTGCACAGCCCTTATATATATATATATATATATATATATATATATATATGTATATATATATATATATATATATATATATATATATATATATATATATGTATATATATATATATATATATATATATATATATATATATATATATATATATATATATATATATATATATATATATATATGTATATTATATATATATACAGTATTGGCCAAAAGTTTGAATCCACCTCTGAATATATATATATATATATATATATATATATATATATATATATATATATATATATATATTATATGTATATGTATGTATGTATGTATGTATATATATATATATATATATATATATATATATATATATATATATATATATATATATATATATATATATATATATATATATATATATATATATATATATATATATATATATATATATATATATATATATATATATAGTATTGGCCAAAAGTTTGAATCCACCTCTGAATTTGAATACACAAAAACTCAAAATATACAGCACAAATAGATTAAAAGTATGAGTCAAGCACTTTTTCTAACAATCAGTCAATAGTATAACAATATAAACAAATTACAAATAAACTATGCAAAAAATTTTCAGTTTTGGCCAAAAATTTGAGGTGGATTCAAACTTTTGGCCAATACTGTATATATATGTATATATATATATATATATATATATATATATATATATATATATATATATATATATATATATATATATATATATATATATATATATATATATATATATATATATATATATATATATATATATATATATATATATGTATATATGTTAGGGCTGTCCAAAAAAAATTTTTTTTTCAGATTTGATTGCATAGTTGTTTATTTTGTGCCATTTGACATATTAATTAACTGTGCAAAAAATCTTTCCGATCAGATAATATTTAGGGGGTGCTCAATGACCATAAAGTTTTACGAAAAATGTGAAAAACATGGAAAAAGTAACAAAGTTCCACAAATTTCTAAAACCCGGTTAATTAAATTTTTCAGATTTGATCAGTTTTAATTATCTCTAAATATTAAATTCTGAATACAAATTACAATCCACATCCACTTTATACTGGTTTATTAGCAGAGAAATTAATGAAATAAAATACTGCAATACGACTAAAGTTCTGCGGTTTTTGTTATATCAGAATTTTTCCAAAATAAAACACTAAGATTTTTGACTCTTTGTCATTGATTAAAATACGAATTATAAACAAAAAAAATTATTGTAAAGGAGTAACAGTTTCTCAAACCGTTATCAACTACTAAGTAGGTCAACTCAAAAACATATGAGCAATTAACATTTAATTATCGTAATGTTATAGTTCGTGCAATGTTAATGCTAGCGAGGACTATAACTTTTCAGAGTACACTTTCTGGCATCTGGCACTTGCTTTCTGTGATCCTCAACCACCTGAATTAACCTCTGCATTTCAGATTCATTCCTTGTAATCGATTCATTAAACATCGACATCAAAGCCACAGATCGTTCGGCAGCATCATTTACTACTTTCAATGAATATACTAAATTTTTTCCTTCTTGGTAATCTGGGGAATCATTCCAGGTAGCTGGATCGTTGTTGAACAGAAAATCAATATCAACCTTCATTGACCGAATGCACTTGCTGAAACTGATGTCACCAGCATGTCCAGAGATTTCTTCTCTAGACTTTCAATGTTCTTTAATTTGATCAACCTTTCAGACCAGTTCTCACCTTGAAATTTCATGTTGGAAATCATTTTTCGCTTCTCTTCCGTTTTAAGTTTGTTTGAAAACAAAGCTAGTGGGACCAATTCTGGTGAAAGGTACCACAAATGGTTTTGAAATTTCTTGACTGCTGCTTCGGAAATCGTTTTATTCACAACTGCAAACTGCTTAAGTTGCTGAAACAGAAACAAGTCATTAACTTGAGCATCGCTGGCATTTGGGCATGATATTCAAGATTTTACATAAACCAGACTAGCAAATAAGCAAAATTCACAGAGATTTTTTTCCTCTTTTGTGGTCAACTTGAACTCTTCACGAAATAAATAAATCTTAAAACAATAAATAACCTTGGCCATCCAGCGAGCCATGTGATAAGCACCAGGGATCTTGAAATGATAATTTTTCTCTTCTTGATCAGGCAGTTTTCCAAGTATTAACAGACAGAGATCCATGATTTCTTTGTAGTCATCCCTTGGCATTTTAACATGCAGGTTTTCTTTGAGGAATGCCATCACTTCATTTTGTAGTTCTTGCACCAGGGGTATTTTCATTCGAATGTCATCCAGAGGTTTAAAATTTCCTTGATTAACTTTGGGCCAATATTGCTGAAATCTCTGGAAAAGAGGTATGTTGGGACCAGATGATGGTCCAAATAATGATCCAAACACTCCTTCTACTATGATCTCATGAACATGGTGTCTGCAAGCAAAATATAACAAATTTCTACCTATATGTTTCTCTAGAACTACACATGCACCATTTTCGGAGCCAGTGTTAGAGGCTGTAGTATCAAAACTCATTCCAATAACATCACCAATTATGTCCCAGAAATTAAGCAGATGAATAACTGCTTTTGCTTGGGCTTCTCCAGTTCCAGCTGATAGTTTTGCTATTCCAAGTATTTTGTCAACATTGTGACCTGTCACACCTACAGATA